AATAGTTACATTGGTGCAAGCTTTTACACCGATCCAGATGACTCTAAGTCTCTATCTGGATACATATTGAAAGTGGGAGCAATTAGCTAGAGTAGCTCCGTGCAGAGCATTGTAGACATAAAATATTTGCAAAATATATACGGCTCTGAATGTGACAGACCCGTTGACTAAACTTCTCTCACTAGGAAAACATGATCATACCTTAGTACTCTTTGGGTGTTAATCACATAGCGATGTGAACTAGATTATTGACTCTAGTAAACCCTTTTGGGTGTTGATCACATGACGATGTGAACTATTGGATATTAATCACATACATATGTGAATATTGGTGTTAAATCACATGTCGATGTGAACTAGATTATTGACTCTAGTGCAAGTGGGAGACTGAAGGAAATATGCCCTAGAGGCAATAATAAAGTTATTATTTATTTCCTTATATCATGATGAATGTTTATTATTCATGCTAGAATTGTATTAACCGGAAACATGATACATGTGTGAATACATAGACAAACTAAGTGTCACTAGTATGCCTCTACTTGACTAGCTCGTTTATCAAAGATGGTTATGTTTCCTAGCCATGGATAAAGAGTTGTCATTTGATTAACGGGATCACATCATTAGGAGAAAGATGTGATTGACTTGACCCATTCCGTTAGCTTAGCACTTGATCGTTTAGTATGTTGCTATTGCTTTCTTCATGACTTATACATGTTCCTATGACTATGAGATTATGCAACTCCCGTTTACCGGAGGAACACTTTGTGTGCTACCAAACGTCACAACGTAACTGAGTGATTATAAATGTGCTCTACAGGTGTCTCCGAAGGTACTTGTTGGGTTGGTGTATTTCGAGATTAGGATTTGTCACTCCGATTGTCGGAGAGGTATCTCTGGGCCCTCTCGGTAATACACATCACTATAAGCCTTGCAAGCAATATGACTAATGAGTTAGTTGCAAGATGATGTATTACATAACGAGTAAAGAGACTTGCCGGTAACGAGATTGAACTAGGTATTGAGATACCAACGATCAAATCTCGGGCAAGTAACATACCGATGACAAAGGGAACAACGTATGTTGTTATGCGGTTTGACCGATAAAGATCTTCATAGAATATGTAGGAGCCAATGTGAGCATCCAGGTTCCGCTATTGGTTATTGACCGGAAACAGTTCTCAGTCATGTCTACATTGTTCTCGAACCCGTAGGGTCCGCACGCTTAAGGTTTCGATGACAGTTATATTATGAGCTTATGTGTTTTGATGTACCTAAGTTTGTTCGGAGTCCCTAATGTGATTACGGACATGACGAGGAGTCTCGAAATGGTCGAGACATAAAGATTGATATATTGGAAGCCTACATTTGGATATCGGAAGTGTTCCGGGTGAAATCGGGATTTTACCGGAGTACCGAGGGGTTACCGGAACCCCTCGGGGGCTTAATGGGCCATAGTGGGTCTTAGTGGAGAAGAGGAGAGGCGGCCAGGGCAGGGCCGCGTGCCCCTCCCCTCCTAGTCCGAATAGGACAAGGAGAGGGGGGCGGCGCCCCCCTTTCCTTCCTCTCTCTCCCTCCTCTTTCCCCCTTCTCCAAGTCCAACAAGGAAGGAGGGATTCCTACTCCCGGTGGGAGTAGGACTCCCCATGGCGCGCCTCCTCCCGGGCCGGCCGCCCCCTCCCCCTGGCTCCTTTATATATGAGGGCAGGGGTGCACCTCTAGACACAACAATTGATCATTGATCTCTTAGCTGTGTGCGGTGCCCCCCTCCACCATAGTCCTCCTCGATAATATTGTAGCGGTGCTTAGGCGAAGCCCTGCGAGGATAGAACATCAAGATCGTCACCACGCCGTCGTGCTGACGGAACTCTCCCTTGACACTCGGCTGGATCGGAGTTCGAGGGACGTCATCGAGCTGAACGTGTGCTAGAACTCGGAGGTGCTGTAGTTTCGGTGCTTGATCGGTCGGGCCGTGAAGACGTACGACTACATCAACCGCGTTGTGCTAACACTTCCGCTTTCGGTCTACGAGGGTACGTGGACACACTCTCCCCTCTCGTTGCTATGCATCACCATGATCTTGCGTGTCCGTAGGAATTTTTTTGAAATTACTACGTTCCCCAATAGCAGTGTGGGCGGCGGGAAGCCACGGGGGAGGGAGGAAGCGACAATGATGAATGGTTGACGTCGCTCAATGGCCACCTATAGAAGGAGACAGATGGTGGAGCAAGCTAGGCGCGGGGCAACATGAGCTCAGGTGTCTCGACCATAGCAGCGGTCAGAAGGGCCCATGATGAGGATTGGTGCGACCGTGAATGGAATGACGACAATGAACGTGATGGCAGTAGCCGACAACCGCGCATTATGGTCATTTGGTGGCACAAGGTGGTTGTTGCTTGTGAAACTTCATTAAGACACACAAGAAAACTAAGGTATATAGTACTCTCTCTATATATTTCTTGTGTGGACATGACCTCGCTGTGATTGACTCCCTCTTTCGTGTTTGACCACCTCCTTATGTGCGACATGGACCTAGCCCTAACACCATGAAACTCCCTCAACCTACCGCCCACCTCTCTACTCCCCATCTTGCCTTGCTCAAGGCAGGTCCAAGCTCGAGCTAGTCCACGACGACACCCGTTGTGAGTACCTCTCCCGAGCTTTGCTTCGTGCACCAGCACGCCATCGACAACCAACAGACTCACCATGAGACCCTTCTCTGGTTGATCATCGCCTAGCATGCTTGAATGCTGGCCATTGTTCTGCCACATCATCAGTAGCAACCGTATATAAAACCAGGGACCCCTCCCGAGCTCCCATCCATGCAACATCTCACCAACGATAGCCAACAAGCCCGGTCACGACGCTACCACCCACTCCTACAAAGACCCTCTAGATCGTCGACGATGCCAATTCCGACAAAATTCCCGTAACCGGTCCTATCTCCTACGACATACAGAGATAGAACAATGTGAAACCAACCTTATACGTGGCTCGGGTTGCTAACCGGCGGGGCCCACTTCTTTGTCAAACCATTATGGTTTAGACTAGACTTGATCGTACCCCGAATTGGGCCCGCTTAACAAAGCCTAGTCTGGGAAATACCATGTCTGAGTCGGGCGAGCACATAAACAACGACTTTTCCAAATCACTTTAATTTTTTGGGCATATGAAATAAACTTATAACTAAATTTTATATAAAAGCACTATATTTTAGTCCTTCCAGGCTTTTTCCATGCTTTTCGGACGAACTTGTGGCGAAAAAGCTTAACCCAAGCCCAACCCAGATGCCGAACTTTGGGTCGGGTTGGACCATGCCCATGTCTAGTTTAGATGTGTGTGTTTTTAGCACAGTACGGGCGCAAGCGCTCATATAAACGTGCATACACTGATCCCTATGAATGTACACACGCCCTTCCTACCCTTAATAAGCACCTCTAAGAGACTGAGCCGGCATATCATCTTGAAATTCCCAGGATAAAATGCGAACCCAGGTCTTCTTCCCCTTCCGAACAGGTTCCGAACCCTAGCTCCTCGCCAATGTGAGCGCCGCCTGAGATTCCCAAGCCGCCGGAGACTGTTCTGTTCAACTGCGGGCGACCGAATCGGGTCGCCACCCTCCCCTATCGACGACCAGGCCCTCAAGAGTCAAGAGTGAGGCCCTTTCTCCTTGCCTCCTCTATCTGCCTATGTAATTTTTACGGCTATGGTTCATTGACCAACCCTGTTTCTTTTAGTATATCTAATCTATGCTTGGTGATGTAGTATTCACCTGGTGTAAACTACAAGTTCTTAAATGGTGCTCTTTCGAAGATTGCTATTTTACCTAACAAAATTGTTTATTTTAGTGGATTTATGATTGGCACAAATGATTAGGCATATATGCTTGGTTCAGGTGCGCACTTTTCACTGTTTCTGCATGTCCTTCGGGAAGAAAATGGACCAATCGATCTAAGCTTGTTCCTGGAGTTTCGGTCTGATGTGGAACCACAGATATTCAGTAATAAACGTATCTCTGATGCACAACCTAAGTTTCAGCCTGTATTCCTTGAATAAGATGGCACGACACTTCTTTTTCTACACATTTTACTTAATAGATAGAATGCCCTCTGGCCTTCCATGTAAACAAATTTTAATTAAAGTCGACGGCGTGCTATCACTAGGCGATCTATGTTTCACATGATGAACTGACAGCACAATTCCTTCACGTTTCGCATACTCATGTTGCTATGTTGGGATTTCTAGTTACAGGAAAGGAATCACATGATCCTCTTTCAGTTTTAGTCATGCGCCGCCACTTTATCCAATAAAAAGAAATATTCATACTCTAAAACAAGCATAAGCTTAGTCGCAGTTGTTACTTTACCATGACAAATATGTGGCCCTGCAGCTGTTGTACTGTGTACTGCGCTGAGTACATGACTACGTGGTACTTCGAATGTAGTTGTACTAGTTATAGCCTCTTTGATTCACATAATTCTGCACATATGGAGATAGGAACAACATATGAATTGAAATTGACAGGAATACATGCACAAAACAGAGGATTGGGAAACACTGTACTTTTGTGAACTTGGGTGTTTGATTCACACTTTAACGGGGATAAAACATACAGAAACGTAATACACCAGTGAAATCATAGAAATTATAGCAAAGAGATCTGAGTGGATTGTAATATTACCGAGTTTAACTTAAAACTGGTATCAGAGGAAATTTTCCTCTATTTCTGTTTTGCTCTGTTCATTTCATCAAATGAGTGAATAGTGCCACCAAAGGAAACTGTCCTATTTCAACGGGTTCCTGCATTTTTGTTTTGCTCCATCCATTTGAATCAAATGAATGAATGCTTCCACCAAAGGAATACGTTGAACTTCCTGAGCTTTCTAATAAGTTGAGCTGATAGCCTTTGATAGAGAAATAGTGCAAACATATGTATTGCTAGTTGCATTTTTTTACTGTGTTTTTACTATGAGTCTGATGACATTTCTGTAGACTGCATCATGGAGGCTCCACAGTCTCGGCCTTGGTCAGATCTTCAGTCGGAACTCCTGGGCCTTATCCTCAAGCGCCTCCCCGTCCTGGCTGATCGTGTTCGTCTGAGAGCAGTATGTCAACCATGGCGCTCTAATAGTTTGGAGCAGCACCTTCCCCTCCCATTCCCATGGCTCACTCTCCCCGATGGCACCTTCCTCAACATTCCTGGTGGTGAAATTCACCGCATGCCTATACCAGAAGGCGCTTGTTGCCAAGGCTCCATTGACAACTGGCTATTTCTCACGCACAATGATGATGTATGCTCATTGATGAACCCTTTCTCCAATACCACGCTGGAGCTTCCTAAGCTAGCCAGAGAATGGAAGCGTGTGATAGGTCCCTGCTCCAGATTTAAGCCAATTTTCTATAAGTTGGTGGTGCCCTCACCGCTGGACTCATCACCCAATTCCTTGGTTGCTGCGCTAATCATGGATGATTCTAATTGCCGCACACTTTGCATTAGCCAGCCCCCAATCGCCACTGACTCACTCAGAGGTGACAGGTATCCAATAACTAGACTTTCAGATATTGCATTCTTTGATGGAAAGTTGTACGCATTGAGCGGAGTTGGCCAGCTTTTGATATTTGAGCTGGACGATGACCTTGTTATTTCATCCTTCGAGAGCATAATTGACTCTTTGGGTGATTTAAGTTTAGTTCCTCAACCCTTGGCCCCAGGGGATCCATTTACTATAAGGGAGTATCTAGTTGAATGTGGTGGTAGACTGTTGATGGTGACACGATGGATTCACCGGGTGAACATTTCTGCAAGTGACGATGGCTTTGAAGATAAACGCACGGCTGCACTTGAGGTCTTTGAGGCAGATTTGCAGAGCAGCCCCCGTCGTCGATGGAGAAGGGTCCATGATTTGGGTGGCCATGCACTCTTTCTTGGCCAACATGGCTCCAAGTCCCTGCCCCCTGCAGAATGCAGTGAATACCAAGAGGATTGCATCTACTTCATGTGTGACTATCCCTTGCCGAGCTCTTCTGCAAATCCTCTTCGCGACTCCGGTGTATACAACGTCAGGAATGGGATGATCACACCATTGATGTCAGAGACAGCAGCTGTGCCGCTAGAGCGTGTTGGGCAGTGGCGTCCGGCATGGGTTTTCCCTTCGGCAGCTATGTGATCAACGAAGCAATGTTTGTTCTGCTTGGAATCCTCATGCGTACTCCCAACTTGCTCTGCTACAACTTTGGGACCAACCAATTCTGCTTATGTTTATCCCAGTGACCTGTGATCTCAGTTGGTACGTTTGTGTGTACTTAAATCCTATGTATAATCTTAATAATGGGAAATATTCGAACGTTCAAGTCTTTTATTATAGCAACTTGGTCTATTGTCTGAGTGGATATTACCTTTACATGAACAAACTTTTTTCCTCTGGTGAAAAAACTCAAGGAATCTCCTAGATCATGTTCACTGTGAGGAGAGCACCGTGTTGATGATAGGCCACGAAGATAATGATGTACCGCGTTTCTGTTCTGAAAAGTTGGAAGAATTTGGTACTGTACTGTTAGCATACAGCTACAGGAGCGATTTCTTGGCAGCACCGCCGCATCAACCTTTGCTGAAGACGACGACGGTGAGGTGAAGCTGACGCTTGGATTTCGTTCTCTGATCAGTCTTGCTACGTCTCAGTCAACTGAAAGACTTATATTCATAAAGATCCTACATCAAGATCCATACAATTTCTTCTTTGATTCTTTCGTGCATAGCCTGGTCTCAACAGAAAATCCAACGAGAAAAACGGGATCGATGGGATCCGGAATGAGTTACGAGATCTTCTTTCACATAGTAGTATGGTAGGTATATTGGGACGGACTCGCCCTCAGATCGATCGCTCTGTTTAAAGAGGACGTATCCCACGAGGCCACGACGATGGCCGCGTCGGGAGGCTCTTGCGGCGGGGAAAAAAATTCTATGAGACCAGGTCTCACGGATTAGCAGGTGAGACCCATCCTGATAAATGACACGTGACATTCACAAATCACAAAGCATTTACCCCACCCCACCTGAAATCAGGGGGGAACAGATTAGATGCTTTGTGATTTGTGAATGCCATATGTCATCCATCAAGACGGGTCTCACCTGCTTTATATGAGACCTGGTCCCATGGCCGGATCTCCAGCCGGAGATGTTGGGGGTCGTGCTCTCGCGGCTGCCGTCGCACGCCGACCGCGTCCGCCTCGCCGCCGTCTGCCGCCCATGGCGCTCCAGCGCGCGGCTGCTGCGTCCGCTACCCACGCTGCTCCCGTGGCTCGCCCTCTGCGATGGCACCTTCCTCAGCCTCCCCGACGGCGCCGTGCACCGCCTGCCCGTCGCGGACGACGCCTCGAGCCGAGTCTCCACCGGCAGCGCGCTCTTCCTCGTGCACGGCGACAACAAGTGCTGCCTGATGAACCCTTCTCCGGTAATGACGACCCCTGTCCCTGAGGCCGGCGACTGGTTCCGAGAAAACCCGACCGTCCGGAAGGTGTTAATGTCCGATCACCTCGTCGCCGCCCTGGTGGACTCCAAAAAGCTCAGCATCAACAGCTCCACGACCACGAAAGTCATCATCTCCATACGTGGGCAGCCATGGGACACCACGAGTTGCTCCACGACGGAGTGGACGGCGCCTGAAGACAGCTTCGTCAGCGACATCGCGCTCTTCAAAGGAAAGCTCTACGTCCTCCTCGACACACAAGACGAGGAATACGGACAGCAGCATGAGCTCCGTGTCCTGGACGACGGCCGCGAGCAGACAGCCATCCCCGGTACCCGATTCCACGGGCACGAATCGTTTAATGCTTACGCGACGGACATGTACGTGCAGCGGAACTATCTCGTCGTCTCCGGCGACCGGCTGCTGATGGTGGAACGAAGGATCTACCAGCCGCCGATGTTCCCGGTAGACTCAGGGATTGAGAAGCGGACTCGTCTCTTCAAGGTCTTCGCGGCAACGGAGCTGAGCAGCGGATGTGGACTCTGGACCGAGGTCGATACGTTGATGGGGCGCGCGCTTTTTGTCAGCGAAGGCTGCTCGCAGTCTCTCTCCGCCGGGGATCAATCTAGCGGTGTCGGAGCTCGAGAAGATTGCATCTACTTTGTAAACGAGGATCACACAGATACAGACATCTCTGAATCCGAAGAGGAAATCTGTGAGAACCCCTTTCTAGACTCTGGCGTGTATAACATGGCAGATCAGACAGTGACGCCGTTGCCGTCGAAGGCTGTGGCGGCGCCCGCTGCCGGCGACGGACCATGGTCTCCGACTTGGCTTTTCCTAGAGACTTGAGTTAGGCTATATAGTTAAGGCGGTACTATAATTAGGTTTTCGAATAAGATGTTTTTCTTGGACACTTCTATTATTCTTCTATAAAGCACATGGTCGAGGCTGAAGAAATCATCTTCTGTGTGGTACGGGAATATGATATTGAGTCCAAAACTACAAGCTGCAAATCTGCACAAGGAGGGTGTAGATCTTGTGCAACAAGCAGACCCACAAAAGCAAGGTATGTCAAAAATCATTTACAGATATGGGGCATTTCAGATATTTATTGGTAGTTCAGGAGGTCAACTGAAAGATTTTAGTGGGGTTTCACTCGCTGAGCTATGTCATCAAAATCCATGGAGTTCATATTGGTATGTTTGCATAGCTGGTTTATTGATGTCCAATTAATGATGGATCATGGTGAAATTTGATAGTTTCTGTCAGAAGTCAGAACTAGCGACCAATTTGAAATTTCAGCATCTCTCGGATTAAAACCTCAGTAATCAAATGCCGCATAATGTTGGTGTAATCATTGTCAAGTTTGAGGTTCCTAAGCATGAAACTTATCTTTACACATGTTACTCAAACTCGATCCGAATGTGCATAAGAACTGACTTTGCATGATTAGATTAAGTTGCCAGGATGATATCAATATTAGTTCGCAAACAAAATTTAGAACACATATTAATTTGCAACTTAGCATCATATAAGATGTGCTCATTACCAAATACGGGGGACATATAAGATCCGGAGTAGATTAATCTAACTAAACTAGTTATGCAAATTTGTTTGTTGTGGCAAATAAGCAGCATGATCGATTACAAAGTTATAGTTATAATTTAGTTGTAGATCAAAGATTATGTGGTTCATGCAACCATCGGTTTCTTTTTATAGTCATATGAAAAGAAAATACACTGTACAAATTTTCCATGATAATGTCTATAGATGATACGGCAGAATGCTTCAACCTAAACTATTGACTACCCCTTGCAACATGTGACCACGGTCCAACATCCGATGTTTATAACATGACTACCCTGGTAATTGTTTGCACAACTGGCAACGGAGAAGGTTTTGGGTCACCATCTATCGCACGCAATGCTGATGAAAGTAGTTGGTAGACAGAAGCACAATGTTCCCTACCATGAAATTTTCTATGCATATGGTGCCCGTTGAAGGATCGATGTCAGTGTCGCGTGAAAGATCTGACATGGTATGGAGATAAAGCATGTGAAGACTATGGCTTAGACAGAGCATCTTCTCCGACATGGAAGGCATCGATGCAAATTGCGCATGTTGAATACGAGCCATCAAGAACGATTTTAGTGCCCTATGTAGGATATGAAGTGGTATGGAGACATCAACGTGAGTACAATTTTAAACGAGAATGATCTTTTGGTCATGATATGATGCTATAAGATGCGTGTGTGCTGAGATGGGGTGTATCCGTTTTTATTTTCCAGGTGAATGAGACCAAATTACGTCTCATTTAGATGAGTTCTAGGTACTCCCGAAGAAAAAGAGGCTAGCCCTGATTCTTTCGTATATCGGTTCTGTTATTTCTCAGTCGACTGAGAAATAGTGAAGTGTCAGTCGACTGTTTTACCCTTCGGCCTGTGTAACGCTCTTTGTCCAGCCCGTTTGCCTTTTTTCCTTTGGCCCCACCGGCCTTGGTTCTGTAGGGCTAGGGAGTATTTGTTGGGCTTAGTACGTAGGTGGTCGATGAGTCTTTTTCTCGTTTTCTTTTTTGTTTGTTTTTGGGCACGATTCAGAGGGGAACGGGTAGATATATGTGCTCCCGTCGATGGGTGACGCTGCTGATGGAGTAATTTATCTATGTTATTATCCGCTCTATTTTTAGTCTTTTTTTTTGTTTTTTGGTTTGAGTAGTTGCATGTCTTCTAACCGACCCGCAACTGGACTTTTTTGTTCTGTCGTAGGAGGCGGGCCAGTTGCAAGCCCAACAACAACCCCGCAACTGTAAGTGCCGCACCCGACAACAACTGCATATCCCTGAACATGGTTGCAACCAGACTTTCTTTTGTCGGAGGAGGCGGCGGAAGAGGGGGCAGACTAGTTGCATGTCCGACTCTAGGCATGCAATTGCAAGTGTCGCACCCGACCGCAACTGCATGTCTTCTACCCCGACCGCAACTAGACTTCTTTGTTCTGTCG